AAAAAAAGAAAAAACCTCACTTCCATGTTGCGATGCAATAAATATAATCTTTGCTCGCGATGTCTCCAGTTCTTAATCCAAAGCTTTGATTTTTGGTTACGTCTTTTTGGGGTTAACATAAGTCCGCAAACTAAAGTTGCCACTTCAACGTCGTTGTCCATGTTGGTTTGTTTACTCTAAATTCAGCTGAGGTAGCGCAGAATTTTAATTTGAAGGGATTTCGTATCTGGAATTGGAATGTGTTCGAGTGAAACCTCACACTCTACGATCGAACCTTTTCCCTGTCCCTCGCTATTTTTGTTCTTAGTTAAAACTTATTTCTCACCTTGATATCTCGTTGTGATGTAGAAAGTTCATAGCAAAATACCGAATCCCTTTTTAGATGAGCTTACGTTTCATTCTGGCAGGAAAATGGGGGCGTGGGTGACGTCATGCTGTGAGGGTTCTATAGTTTAAAATAACATTGGATCTCATTTAAGAATATCGTAATATATATTGTGCATCGTGAAATAGCAAACATATATCAGAATATTAAATTTTCCTCATGTCTCCCAGCCCTAATGTGAAGGATCTTCAGGTCACTCAAAGAAAATAAATTATATCATTAGTTAGCAGCAGTGCATTGAGCACTAATTTTGTCACAATCTAGTCGTGAGATGGTAATTAATAGCAGTAAAACATGCAAATACACATGAGTAGGATTATGTGTCTAACATTTCTCAACTATCTTGATGAACGGACATTTTGTTCATCTGAAAGCATCAGAGATTTAGCTTTAAACTGCAGAAGTCTCTATTTCAGCAACACAAACTTACACATGAGGTTTCAAACAAGGGGTTTTAATCTAAATTTGAGTGTCATAGAAAAGTATTAAAATAAAACTATTAAGAAATACTGAAACAGACAAAAAAAAATGATCTGCACATGTAAAAGTCACTGCTCTAAAGAACATAGAAAAACTGATACGGAGCATTTCCATATTTATAAAGAAGAGCATGAGAAAAAAGCAGAAAAACTAGTATTCAAGAGGCAGGACACCAACGTGTTATGCTCAACAGCTGCATGTCAAACGACTTTTCGTTTTTCGTTTCACCGTAATGTTTAGTCTGCATTTTCTTGAGCAAAATTTTGACAAACCCTACACATCTTAAGTGACATGCTTTGAAATTAGAAGTATTTCAAAAAGCCTCTTCAATAAAAAAAAAACAATATTAACAACAGGAAAGCAAACTATACATGAGCAACTACAACATGATAGTGAAATTTTGCCAAAATTCTGGCGAATTTTTTAAGGTGCGAGTGTCACTTGGCAGGATTGGCAGCAGCTTGACAGCGGTCTTCCTTGGCTTCCTGGGACTTTTGTGCCATCTTTTTGAAGAAGTGTTCAGCTCGCAGTTCCTCGAAGCAGAATTCGGTGGCCCCGCTGAGCAGCAGTTCTTTACAGTACATGCTCCGCTCCTGCAGTTTTCCTGCTTCTGCCTCCTTATGCTGCTGCTGATGCTCTTGCAGTCTTTTCAGGGGAGTTTCTTCTTTACTCGGCTTCCGCGCTGAAAGAACAGAGTTCACCGTCGGGTTTATCTTACACGGCGTCCTAAAGGAGAGGAAAGACATTAATATTTATCTTACAGTGATCTAGAAAAGAAACAAGTCTGAAAACAAGGAATTAACTATTAAAAATGTTTAGTGTGAATAAATAATTAAAGATTTTGATGATCAAATTCTTGTAATTTACATTAAAGATTTAGGAGTGAAATGCTTCAGCAAACACTTCAGCAAACCTTTATGTAGATTCGGGGATGATATCCTAAAAAAATTTCTTTCATCTGAAAGAAGGTTTATGGAATAGTGGTAGCCGATGTCCTAGATAAATCTGAGTGAATCATTGATTCCAACTGCTGTGTCTATTGAAATTTGACCACACTTTTTCCTTCCACTTAACTTTCAGTGTATATGCTTAGATAAAGCATTTTGTAAACATGCAGCCATGACCTTTTGCAGCGAATGTCAGTGACTATATTTAAGATAGTTTTTCCATCAAAATACAACATTTCTGAATCAGAAATCCAGTGGCAGAGTTTTAATTTCCCAAAACTCATCCGTGATTTTGTCTTTCAAACTATTTATATCCTTATTTGGTTGAGATAAAAGACAAATAACCTCTAGACCTCCACATTCATGTATTCCACTCTTTTTTTTCTTTCTTATTTTAAATGTAAATTTGTCTCCAATTACCAATATTACTTCTCATGTTGATCTAGTCTGTTCTTATCCTAAATATGATTCCTGGAGGAACTCACATTGTTGGAGGCTGGTCAGACTCCTCAACAAATGGTTGGAAGGTGGGTTTCGGAGGTGGTGGAGGCATGACTACATGTCCAAATTTTGTTTTCTGGGGCATCTATGACATTTATAAGCAAGAGAAAAAAAATAAGAATTTTCTTTACTGGACATCGATATACAAATTTGCATGAGAAAAAAAAAAAAAAAGACATGTTTTCTCATACCTTTACATCGCACCATTTCTCCGGCTTCTGTTCGTTTTCTTTTGCCCTTGATGTGGGAGGAGCCATCCAGGATTCCAGCAAAGGTTCTGATGGACCCGGAGTTTCAGCTTTGTTCTCATCGAAAATCACCAGCTTACTGTTTAAGACGTTGCCAAGGACCGGGGCACCGCGTGACGGCAGGCCTCCACTAATACCTGCCAAGGGAACGTATCAAGAATAAAGAATGCTATAACGATAAGGTAACATCAGCTAAAAATTTCCCTTACTTCTGATTGCTGACCCAGTCCTGTTGACAGGAGCAATGGCCTTCTTCTTCCCTCTATGTTTGAGGTCGGCTAGTGAAACTCTTTCAGGTTGTTTTGGCTCCTCGTCACTGCTGTCATTTTCCAATTTTAATAACGCCTGCCGGGACGCACGAGCCTGCAGAGCCCTGAGAATGACCATTCAAATGTTGTAATTCTTATAGAACGGTTCAAAGAGGAGGAAGTTAAACTGGGAGGTGTAATCATAATTAAACAGATTTTTACTTGTGAAACTGAAGAAGCTTGTCATGTGGCTCAGCAAACCTCTTGAATGCCTCTTGATAGACAAGATCTGCTTTTCGATAACTGCCCTGATTCTCGTACTCCTCTGACCAAGCGATGTAGAGCGCCGCCTGTGTCACTCCAATTCCTTGTGCTTGCATATACCTGTAGATATCGAGGGGCTCTGAGCAGTTCTCTGCCTGGTGACATACAACACAAACATTTGGCAAATTTTACCACCACAAAACTTATCAGAATAGCTAAATAAATCCAAAATGAAAAGAGTACATACAAATTTGATCCAAAGATCAACATAGCGAGGGTCATTGTGATACATCTTTTCATCTGTAAATCTGGTCACAGCCCGCTCCAACAGTGTTGCAATGTTGCTTTCTTTGCCCCCCTGAGGAAAGGTTTGTTCTGTCCATTTAATATACCTGTTAAACCACACAATTATGTTAACAGAGGTTTTGAGATAGAAAGGCAACATCTACTAAAACCTGTCATTCATGCTGTACAATTTACTTACCTATCCCAAACACTCAGTGGATCCTCTCCTTCATACAGTCGAAGTTCAGACTCAAACATCCTGAAGAAACAGAACAAATTATGAGACCAGAGTTTGATCATTTTCCACTTCAAGTCTAAAGTTAGAAAGATGATCCCTACTGTTTCTGCTGGTTGATTGCAGAAGTGGGTCCTTCCTCTCGTTGGCTAAGGGCTTGATGTAACACTGATATATCTCTGCCACGCCTCAGTGGCTGAATGTTTTCTTTGCTGAGCTCCCAATCCACATCTCCTCCTTCTGCCATTGTTGATCCCTATAGCAGCTTATTAAGATGTTCTTATGATTACTAGAAGTTCCAACTTGCAGTGATGCATGTGTTATTTTCCCATGATACACATCTATGTTTGCTTTTAAAGCCAACATTACATACCCATTATTCTGTACTAACGTCTTCCAATCACCTTCAGTCATGGTGAAATAAAGCACCTCCTTTAGTTTAAAATCACATCCAGTGTTTTTAGGTAATAGTTTCTTGTTTAATCTTGTTTAATGCAGCCTACCAGTGAGTTTCAAACCTGACAACACCATCATACAAAGGCTGGTTCATCCCGAAGACAAAACACCCGAGCGAAAGCTGAGCGGGGCCGAGTATTGCAACAAGGTTTACACTGACATCTGCAACAACTGCATAAACACAATACATACGAGCCAGCAGCTCGGGGCAAGATCCAGCTGTACATTTGAACGTGAAGAAAACCGTACATAGGTGCAACAAAGACAACTATTTAGAACCATGGATAACACTGCAAACCTATACCGGATATAATAATAATTAAATAACAATGTTTCCATTTTGATCGTTATATAGCCTCCCTTGAAAATAAAGAAGGCTATTCTGCAAAGTGAACCACGCAATTAATCTTTGCAATGGTAATTACATTAGCGACTCCGCAACAACTGCATAAACAGTTGTTGCTGCAATCCTTATGAAGATTTCGCCTTCATAAGGCTTGCAGAAAAGGTTAGTTTTTTTTTGTTGTTGTTAAATGCCATATTGCAAAGAGTTGTACCGTGCAAGTTATACTTTGCGAAAGACATTAACTTCTCTGTGAGAAAACATTTCCAACATACAGTGTGACTTCCACGATGCTAAGCTAGCAAGTCGCAATGACATAAGAAGCTCACCTTGGCTTTCGATCAATACATTTTGTTAATGTTCTCATTATTAGATGATTTTTCGAGATAAACATAGAGTTAAACAGAACTTTCAATAGATAATGGACTTGTTAATACCTTTTCGACCCGTTTTAACCTCTCCAGCTAATGTCTTTCGCTGTGACGCCGTTACACCAGCAAGCTCTTCTGTTTTGAACAACGGCTGCAATCCGCGGAGAAAGCTGATTGGACGAATCCCAAACAGGAAACCGCGTGACGCAAAATTACAGTTTCCGGTCTGCTTCCTGTTTTGATAATGACAACGTTAACCACCCCAAAACATAGAGCTAATTTTCCATATTTCTGCCCACTGCAGGGGAATTTCTGTACGTCCTCAATCGCTTGCGAAGGCATTACTCAAGAGGAGACGCAATGGACAGTCGCTGTTACGGCTGTGCATCAAAGTTTAGTCTCTTCAAGAAGGAGGTAAGATACAGCTTTTCAATCTTTGAGGGGCCTTCATTACTTTGCTCCCCCTGGGCTCTTTAGACATAAATTCTCGCTTAAAAATGGCTATACAAATACTGTTTCTCAATGTGTTTTTTTTTAAGAAGGATGCTATTATTATCGACAGCATTTGTGAAACATAGGAAAGTTTGATAAATTTAGAGTGCATGATAAATAAAAAAAGTGCAATTAATGGAAAATATTGAAGCCAGAAATTGTGAAGGTGTTTCAACACTAAAAACGTAATGAAAGGGAGTAAAAATTAATAAAGAAATTTGATGCAAAACAAGTTGCAAGCTGGCTGTAATAAAAATACTTTTTGAATAAAATAATTGAAATATTGTTCTGCTTCGTTTTAAAGGCAAATTGAAAATACCTTTCCGACATTGAAATCTTAATTTTAAAGTTTAAAAGGCATTTTAGAGTTTTAGATTTAACTCCTAAGTTTATCAATAAATAAAATAGAACAAAAACAGATAATTAAAAAATTTAAAAAAAAAGATCCAGGGACCTACAAGAACTAATATGATCCCACCCATGCTTATTAAAGTTTGCTTAGGTAACATGCAAGGTGTATTTTCCACCAAACTTTCTCTTCAGCTGGGCTGTAAGAACTGCGGACGCTCCTTCTGCTCCAGCTGTTTGAGTCTCAGTGCTGTGGTGCCTCGCTGTGGCAACACCCAGCAGAAAGTCTGCAAGCAGTGTCATGGTAATCTCACAAGGTAAACCACCTCCCTTACACACAGAAAACAAACTAAACCAATTTTTTTATAAGCTAATATTTCACATTCTTTCTTATTAGAGGGGAATCTTCAGACAATGCTGGAAGATGGTCCCCTCCAGAAAACTACAAAAAGTTTGTATGACTAGATGTTTGAAAAAAAAAAATCTTGTTAGCAACAGGAATGTCCTAACATTTAAAATTCATGCTTTTTGCAGACGGGTTGCTGCACTTGAGGCCAAACAAAAACAGCAGTCCACACAGCCTGGTGTGCATGGAGGGAGCAGAAATGGCAAATCGGTCCATTTACCAACCAAAGGGCTTAGTAAAGAAGACTATGCTATTGCTGAGAGGCTTCAAAAGCTAAAAGAAGACACCAAACCAAGTAATGCATTGAGTTATTTTAGCATTTATCATCTATATCAAAGCTGATGATTTGAGAAGTTAGCCATTTTTACGATAAGTTATGTAAAAATGGGATGGTATTATTTTTATTTAACCAGGAAGATCCCAATGGAAAACTGGTCAAGATAGACAGCAGCAAGTACCAAACACAGCGACACAAGTTTCACAACCAAATACACAAAATATAATAGAAGCACATTCAAATTTCATAGAAATTACAATTAATATAAATTATAAAACATTTGTCTGTCATTGAATTAGTCTGAAGGACTTATTTTTTATTTAAAATCACTTAAAGAAAGTAACGGTAATTTTCCAGTCATTCCACAACTTGCTCTAATATATGGGTCTGAGTGGCCAAAAAGCTCTTTTACCAAACTCAGGTGATGCAAATGGAACAGAGAACATCATTTTTATTTGAAACTGAAAAACAATAATTTCTCTCTAGTGCTGATTAAATTAACCAAACTTGTTGCAGGAATAATAATGTTACCCATAGCAATTGTTTACTATTACTTGGATGTTTAATGGAGACACAAACAAACAGTAGAAGAAAAACTTGGTAAATTTACATGAATATTTCAAGCACAATGCTTTGTTATAGTTATTGTTTTGTTTTTTTTGCCTTTCTGCTCTTTCAGGAGTAACAGAAACATAATAAACTAATTATAGGGGCTCAGTTAGTCGAGCCATAGGATAGCAGCCCAACAGTAGCTCTTTTCAAAATGAACACAAATGACAAACAGCTAAATTTGTCTTTCTTGTAAGTGAGGTAAAAGTATGGGAGCCTTCCTTTAGTCAGCTGTCAGGCAGTGTCCATAAAACATATGTACATTTTAAAACTTTGATTTATTTTCAGAACCAATATTAGTCCAGGTCTAGCATTAATATGTTTTCTTCTTTTTAAAATGTCCTTTATAACTTTTTAACCTTTTTAGAGTCTATCCCTTCTGAAAAGGAGATTGAGTCACGTCTTGCTGCTCTGAAAACTCCCAGCCAGCCAGTGCCTTCTTCAGACGATATGGAGGATCGCCTGGCAGCTCTGAGGGGTCAGCCACCTCCATCTCAAGCTCCTCGACCAGTGAGTTCCTCTTCCTAATCGTGTGGAAGACTCAAGCATAGGGCTCGGTGAAAAAAGAAAATATTTTGTAAGTTTGTATGTGTTCACACATATAGGTACACCAGTCTCCTGACATCAGGACTCAAACTGAAAAAGCGAATGATTTGATTACTCAGATGGCAGAAGAAGTCGCCATTGATGATCAACAGTCAAGTCCAGAAGATAGTAAGTTAATATTTGTCTCATAAATTGTATATATATAGTACAAGCCAAATGTTGATATGCACTCATCATTAAGGGGACATCATTGGAGAACATAATAATGAAGAAGAAGAACCTTGAACCTTAACTAAATGGTAGAAACCTGGCAGTTAGGTGTACAAAGAGGAGAATGATCCCAAAAATGCATCAAATTTTCTCAAATATCAGTTAATATAAATATTTACTGCTTTAGACTTTATTTATAGCTTTTTAAAAAGCTAAATTTTCAACCAATTTTTCTCTTGAAAACTCACCTGAGTTTAATGTTTCATAAACTTACTATAAAAAAAATACTGTTCAAAATGCAGCATTAAATACATGCTTACTATGTAAGCTTACTATGTAAGCATGTAGGTACACTGTTGACTGACACTATAAGTAATAAAATAATCTTCATTTGGCAGAGTCTGAAGTTACATTCATTGCTTTCTAAGTAAGACAAAACATTTTTTTTATTTTTCACTTCTGACGGTGTAGATATGAACGATCTCAACAAAGGTGAAAGTGCTGCTTCAGACGAGAACCTGGAGGACGACCAGGGAGCAGTGAGACAGCAGGAGGCAGAGAAAGACCGCCTGCTTGAAGAAGCCATGAAGGAACTGAAGAGGGAGAAATATTCCCAGGATGAGATCCTTCACATGGCCAAGAGGCTGGCACAGTTAAAAGGCCAGGATCCAGATAAAGGTGCTCAGAGCCAAGAGCATTACAATCTTATCTTTTGTCCATTGGTTTATGGTAGCATTTCAAGCAGCAAAACAAGAGCGTGCAATGTCTTGTTTTGCAGAAGTGTTTGTTTGCTCATGTCAGACAAATCAATAATTTTTTTTTTTGCTTCATCTTTAGTCACAGCAGAGGATTTCAGACAACCTGACAGTGAAGAAGAGACTGAGGAAGAAGCTGTGAGGAGAGTCCTGAAACAGGTCATTTAACATTGATACTATAGATGGATGCTTAATAATAAATTTGCTGCTTCAAAGCTTTTGTGAAGTATTTAGAATGGCCTTTATGGCCACAAGAGGCTGCTATTTGGCCATTTTAATTATTTGTGATTTCAAATACAGACATGTTTTGAAGTTTTAATCATCCTCTTGACTTTGGCTCCAGCTTTCAGAAGAAGCTGCACTCGATGAAGCCAGTGGCTACAACATACCTATAGAGCACAGCGGACCCCGGAACAGAGAAAAAAAGAAAACCTCTAAAAAACCAGTACTAAAATAAGACCTCACAAGCAAATTCATTGTTTTCATTCCTTCGGGTGCCTAAAATTGAAGCCATTCTCCTTCTGATGTGTTTCAAGACTCCTGCCCCGACAAGCCGAACTTCTCCTGCTGCTGCTGCACATCAACCGTCAGACAGCGACGACGAAGAACTTCCCTGGTGCTGCATCTGTAACCAAAACGCCACCCTGCGTTGCCACACCTGTGACGGAGACCTGTACTGCAGCCGCTGCTTTCGGTAACATGACATGCATTAATCATCATAAAACACTACAGACTCCAGTTAATGACTCAAATTGGGGTCGTGCTTGGAAAAATCTTCATTCTGCCCCAAGAAAAATGATTTGGAATGCAAACCACGACCCACATGAGTCCCGCGCAGCTTGCTACCATACTGTTAAGCAGCATGAATATAAAGTATTTACTGTGATGAATTATCAATCCGTTCTCTATCATCTCCTCAGGGAAGGCCATGATAAATATGACAGGAAGGAGCATCACACCAGTAGCTACACTGCTCCGAAGAAGAGGAGGAAGACATGATACTAAAGATGTTCATCTTATTAAACTCTGACCTTTCATAGCTGTAGGACTTGCTCTTTAGCCTCAGATAGAGTATTGCAGTAATTTAAAACCGCTTTATGAGAATTGAAAACACTACTATAAACCGGAGCTCATCATAACAAATTAACTTGCAGTGCCTAGCTTAAGGATTAGGAAACACCCTCTGGAGAGTTTACAGTTTTTCATGGCACAACCACAAACTTAATTGTATTTTATTGGGATTTATAGCGATACACCACCACAAAGTGGCATGTATTTCAGTAACGTGGAAAAAAGGATACATGGTTTTCAACCTGTGATACGACTATTTGTGTTCGTCTTAATGTTCCACTTGACGGTGAACCTCCATCTCATCCAAGAGTCGAACAGACTGCCTTCTACTTCACTTCCTACTCCACACCATATGGTATGTTACTGCCACCACAACGTTAAGTGTGTTAAGAGTTTTATTTTTCAGCACAGATAATGCTTAAAATATTAACCAAGCAGTTCCGTTTGGTCTCATTTTAGAAGAGCACTTTTTTTTTCTGCATAGCTACTTCTTTTTATCACGTGGATGCTCACAGTTGTCTTGATAATTGATTTTCCCACTTGAGGTATACATTTTCTTTTTGAAGACTTTTGATATCAGCTGGTTGAACTGGAGTTTAATTAGGGGTATTGGTGTAAAACAGGCATGTCAACATTCAGTCCTCGAGGGCCGGTGTCCTGCAACTTTTAGATGTGCCTCTGCTGCACCACACCTGAATAGAATAATAGGTCATTAGCAAGGCTTTGGCAAACAAGGAGGAGGTAATTAAGCCATTTCATTCCAATGTTTGTACCTGTGGCACATCTAAAACCTGCAGGACACCGGCCCTCGAGGACTGCAGTTTGACACCCATGGTGTAAAAGAAGCTGAATCCATATGCTTTCCAGTCCATTTGTGTAAAATAATCTGTAGAATGTTTGTCATTTATATTAAATCCCAATAAAATACATTCAGATTTGGGGTTGTGGTGTGACAAAATCCAAAATAGTTGGAGGGGTTGATTCAACTTGCAAGGCAAAGTGTAGAAAGAAGCTTAAAAGACATTTAAAAATTGTGCAAGACTTCTAGAAGCGGTTAGACTGAAACTAGATAAGCAAGGCGTGTAATATCTGAAACTTATCTTCTTAGAACTTGCTAAAAAAAAAGGTATTAGTTGAAGATTCTAAAAAAAACACAATTTAGAAGTGACAAAGTGAATAAGAAGCATCATGCATTTGTTTGAAGCTCTTACTTTTTTATGACAACTTCCTCCTAAATATACTTTGCACTCATTACTGTGAGTATTTTTAACTTTTTGCAGCACTTCCATCAAGCAGACAGATCATGAGCTCACCCGAGACAATGTGCACTCGCTCTCAGACTATTGTCAGCTAAGTACTGAAAAGTCACAGACGAGTCCATGTGAAAGAATCACTGAGGCCTTTGTTCCCTTTGTGCTGTTGTTCTTGTCTATGTTTGGCTGTGGTTCTGACATTAGCGCTGACTCTCTTGTTATTTGATTCTAAATGAAGAAATTGTTTTGATTATTTTTAACATCAAAGCTCTTTTTTTTAACAAAATGTGTCATTATTTAAGAAAATCGTTTGGCAGGTCCCCTTTGTGCTGTATGTCTGGAATCTTTGTCAGTGAAAGGATGAATGAGTCAAAGTCGTACAAATAACTGTAATGGAGCCCTCAACAAAAAGACCCTGCGTATGACAGTGAGAGGACCAAAGTGCTGTTAACTTATAGGAAACCTTCACACTCTCCTCTGTGTGCTCCCTCCATTAAAGGTGGCCATGTTTGCCTTTTCTGGCCATGTCATGCACCACCCCACCACCACCACACACAGGAAATGGATGGCTGTAATGGGTGCATGCTAAATGGAACATCCTGTGGGTGATTTGAGTGTGTTTACTCCTAGACCTGACATGTTGACGCCTCTATTGTCTCCATCACTCTGTTGAAAAATTAATATCAAAAAACAGAACGCTGAGGTTCTCCTTTCAGCTGTGTCCAGACGAAGTGCTGCAGGGCATAATGAAAAGCGGCTGTGATAGTAGAGTGGTTTTATTAGTGCTGTAAATTTTGTCCCAAGTAATGCAACTGCTTTTCCAATAACTAGGTGGGGTTTTTTTGTGGAAGGTTAATTCAAATTAAAAAGTGAACCTCATATCATATGAACCATTATGCACAGAATGGTATATTTCAAGCATTCACTTCTATTCATTTAGATGATTACTGCTATTTTCCAGATGACGACAGAGTGCTATATGTAAGCATATTGATTAAAAGTTCAGTGGAAGGAAACTGTGTGGTTAAAAAAGGTGCCAAGGCAGAGTAAAAAGGTTGCTTGAGGTCCAGTGAACTACACACAGTCAGGACTTGAAAGTAGTACTGGGTTTGATGACCAAGGCATCATTGTTCTCACCTGCAAACTCTTCTGACCCCAAACCACATAGAAAATCTTTAGGATATTGTGAAGAACAAGGTGAGAAACATCAAACATTAGAAATAAGCTAAAAGCTGCTTTTGATCAACCTGGGTCCTCTGGACATCTTGGCAGAACCGCTGAATGGTGATTCCTTTTAAGGTAGTCTCTGATGCAGAAACAATTTTTTTTGTTGTCATTGGCTTTAGGTCCTAATCATCAAAATTAACAGAAACAAAACTTGAAATATGCCACTGTAATGACTATGTGAAACATTTGTGTTCCCTTTTTTAATTGAATTGCACACCCAAATAAACTTTTCAGTAGTACTCTAATTTATTCAAACTGAACCTGCAGATGCATAATTAATGTTGAATAAAACAAACTGGTTCATCACTTTGTTCTAAATCTGATTATTTGCACAAACAGCCTTGTTTTGAAAAGCTTCCACTTTATTCCAACAACACTTACCTAAACAAATGCTTATGTACATAAATAAGAAACTGAAAATGTACACTCTTTTATACAAAAAAGAGTCCATGTGGGTAATAGCTGTGTTTATCACTTTTACATTTTTGATATTTTGAAGGGAGCTTAAATTTTAGAGTCCATAAATGGAGCAGAAAAAAATCATTCTGACTCAGGAAAGGGGGGAAGAAGTCAGGAAAAGTCCCCGATGTGATATCTGCACTTCCAGCCATACAAACTCTTAACCTGTGGGGAAGAGGCTCCACGTCGTCTTGGTTCTTAATTTGACCTACAGTTACTTCTTCAAAGGGCCTGACATTTTACGTAGACCTTTTATCCTGTAGAGCAGCCCGTTGATAAACTCCTGTGGGGAAGATTCAGAGAGCAAATTATCATTTTCTATGTTTAAATAGACAGAATGAATGTCATAATGAGTCAATTATCAAAATTGGTTGTCTTTAGATGTGGAAGTTGAGCTTTTTTGTCACCTTACCTCTTTTGGCTTTCCACATTCCTGCAATAATTCCTGAAGAAGAAATACAGAAATTAAAAGTTAATCCAAGAAAGCAAAAGCTTTTGTCTATAAGCAGGGCCACCATCAAAGGTGGAGTCATGAGTGGAATGGACACCCAGGTAAACATGCTGAACCAATCAGGCATTATCTTGGCTGGGGAGTCTAATACAAAATTTTATACAGACAGGAATTTAAGATTGGAGAAGATAATTTGCTTGGGACATTTTTTTAAATAAACCAAACAAAAGATTTGATGTTTTTTTTTCTAATTTCATGTTATTCATATTGTATAAACAGAAATAGTTTTTACAAATCTACTCTGAGCGAATATCTTCTAATTCATCTCAACTTTTGGACTCCACTTTATTCAACAAAGTCCATTATGCAACAGGGGAAACGGTGCATTCACTGGCTCTTGTGCAGCAGATCTGCTGTGATACAGCAAGAGATCCAGACCCACTTTACTGTTGCCAAAGCTGCCAAGATGAGACACAATTAAGAAAAGGGGGAAAAAAACTCTGCCTTGGAGCTGCTTCTGTTTATTTTATGACCCCACAAAACACTTATTTGTGTAATGCAGGCCACATAAGCACTTAGAGATCCTGCTAAAAATCAATCAGATGATTTGCTTTTGCAGACTTGGCATTTCTGGGAAACAAGAAAGGAAGCAACAAGAGACATAAGGTGTTTTTATTGAACAGTTTGAAGGAAAATCCCAAACCCTATCCCAATCCGATATATAAACTCTGTTTTCAACTTTTAACACCTGAACAGAGGTGTTTAAACGTTTATAGAACATACCTCAAGTCGATTTCTTTGTCCTTCATCGGGCAGTTCTAGGAGTTCATCTATGTCGATTTCTAACTCTGGAATCTCTTCCTCCTAGGATGGAAATTAAAGTTATTCAGAGTATATTTCTGTCACAGTAGTACCTATATTTGAATTTCTGAGTACAGCATTAGTTTTACACTACAAAACAGGTATGGAATATCAAAACTTTGGTGGGAGCTTTATTGTTTCAACAATTTTTTATTTTTTTTACTTTTCCCCTACAAAGTCCTGAATTAAGCCAACTCACATAATTGGTCTGAACTGACCCAACAGGGTGACGGTACAGGTCAGCTACTTCCTCCACAGCCTTGTACTTGAGGAGGAATGAAAGAACTATAAAAGCACTGAGTCATCATTTTACAGGTAGTGGTTAAAATGTCTACACCGCATAGTTAAATCATTCATAAGCCAATAGCACACACCCTTTTAAGCTTTGTATCACTTCTGTTACTGAGTGTCCCAGGTAAAAGAGAGCTATTCTAACCCTACAAACAAAACTAATAAGGTTTGTTTCTCACAAAATGATTAATGAGCAGTGCTCATGAGCACTGAGGCAGAATTAACTCTAGTTGGCCAGTGTTTACACGTACCAAGAGCAGATTTCATGGATGGGTTACCTTTTACCATGTAGTTCAACCATTACTGAAGGATTATTAACACACATGCTCTGCACCATATTAATTCTCAATTGGTTTGTTGTGCAGTAGCTCACAAAGGCTTTTTGATGGTTTCATGAAAAGAATCACAAACTTTTCCCTCTCCCCTCAGTGCAAATCTGAAAAGTGTGATGTGTTCATCTATGCTGATAGGTCTTAATTAAATCCTGTGTGACATTGTTTTGAGAATTATTTTCATTACCTATGCTAGTGAATCTGGTCACTATTGATTTGAAGGGGAATGGAGAAAAAAAGTTAAAACATTTTGGAGGCTACAAAACAGCTGTGGCAGGATAACACCACACACAGCCGGATCTGCAGTTAAACATTTTGATAAAAGCACACCATGCTAGAGTGACTCTGTTAAAGTCCAGAACTTATTCCTATTAAGAATTTATGGCAAGACTTGGAAACTGATGTTTAGAGACACTCTCCATACTGACTGAACTTGAGATATTTTGCAGTAAGTCGAGAATGAGCAACTATAACTCCATTTCAAAATTTGTTTTGTCAAATTTTAACTACGTCTAAGAGCATTTTAAGTTATGAACTATAATAGCAACTTATTGTTCATAGCAAATTCTTTTCTCATCTAAAGCAAAGCTTGTAATATGCCCATGCTCCACTCTCAAAGAGAATGAGGAGAGCAATCAGCAGAGTTCATGGAGTTATGATATCTGAAGTAAGCACTCACATTTGACAAAGTGTGGCCTTGTTTTTCGAGGGAATATTTTCCGGATGGGGGATTTTCTTGACTGAAAACGACTGGGCTTGCACAGCTCATGAGGAAGGAAGGTAATCAATGTGAAAGTGCTGAGTGGTGAAATAGATGGGGCCTCTTCAGAGTCCCCATGGCCCTTCTAATTGATATGTGTTGCGAGTTTGAACCTCTGTGATTCTGCTGAACTCTGCAGGATAAATCTACAGCCGAACCTTTGCTCCATGCTTTATCTTGCTGTGCTGCGAGGGCCGCAAGCTGAGATTAATTACATTGTCATTTACTTAAATTCTTTTTTTATGTAAAATATGAATTTAAGAATAAATATAAAAGCTAAAGAGAAAACTAATGTTAAATTACTTTATTTCTTTTCACAGCCATCCATGCAGAGCATCGCTAAACATTAAAGGGTGATGCTTTTCACAACTAACCTTCCTCTAACTTATAAGATTATATGTCATATCCAGTCAGTTTCCAACTTGTTGAGAGTTACTGCTTTAGCCTATTGGAATGGTGAATATTAATAAGACCTTCAGATCCAGACATCTGCAGCATTTTCTGAAGTTAAAAGACTGAACTTAGAATAAGCACTGGAACTAATGCTGACATCCATGTTTATTGAAACTTGTCTTGGAGGACAGGATTCAGAAATAAGAATTTGCAAATTAGTCATTTTAGGTAAAAAAAAAATTCCACTGGAAAAATCCTTCTACATAAGCATCCCAATAAAACATAAACATGAAACAATCAGTGACCCCTTACTTACACCATTCCCTGTGTTTATGCTTTTGCAAAGGAAACTGAGCCCTGGAAAATTTGTCTGTTGTGAGATAATGCTGGTGTGTGTTTTGGTTATCAGATCTTTCCCTTTTCCTGTAAGCAGGACCAACTGTGAGCATGTCTAAACATTAAAGATTAGTTAAAAAAGCTTTTAATATTATACAGTTCTGCTTAAAAACAATAGCAGCCCAGATTTCTAGAGAAAATGCCACTTAATTAAATTATTTTTGATTGTTCCAAATTGGTCTCTAAATCACAGCCTGCAGACTTCAATGTATTTCATTGGGATTTTACCAAAGAGAGGAAGGAAAATGTGACATGGTGATCAAGAGTCTTTGCAAATGAGTTGTGTATTCAATTGTCACCTGATAGACAAAATATAAATCAATAAAACAAATTGCCTTCAGAAGTCACTTAAATGATAAGTAGGATCCACCCAATCTTTGAACATCTCAGACTCATCATTGAAAACCAGTAAAATATATAACACAACTACCAAATGAAGGCTGTCCACCTGGGCATGCCGGGCAAGTAGAGTGTTTATCAGAGATTCAGTCAGGAGACAAAGGGTATGGAGAAGCAGCAGAGATTACAAAGGTAATGGCTTAGGTGAGACAGTCTGTATGTCAGAAATCTGTCTTTCTTTTGCAAAGACAGAAGATCTTAACAGTTGATTGCAGGACAGAGGGAACTAAATACCAGCAAACCCTGGAAGAAAACCTGTTAGAGACAGTGAGTTGTGTCGTTAATTATGTGACAAAATATGGTCCAGGTGTCTTATTGCTTCCTGAATGCACTACATCTTATTAGAGTGCATTTTTGTGAACTACAGATTTGATTTCTAATGTTAAGCATAAAAGTACTGTTCAAACTTTTTTTGAAATGCATTTTCAAACTTTTCAGAAGGTGTGAAGTGTGAAACTAAAGGGTGCACTCCTGACTCGGACAGCCCTTCTATGAATTAGAAAGGCAGATAAATAATTTAGGCTATGACACAGGGGACTGATGGTAAATGCTTCCACGCGGAAGACTCTGAGAACCAATAGAGTAACCTTCCCCCAAGGCCCATGCAAAATTCATTACACTACCCGGTGCACACGGACAAGCCACAACCAGTTCTGCACAAGTGACTCATGCAGAACATTGGAAAGTTAAGTGCTAATTTGTCATTGAGCAAAGCATTGCTCTTAGGAAAAATATACTGAAGACAAACATTTTCCACTTGCTGAGGTGGACACTTGCATTTCTGTTGCCATAACTTATTAGCTTCTCTCCATTTATCCTTTACACTCCTGCTATTTACCTTCTCTATCTAAGTTTACGAGCTGTTTCTAACATTTTGATAATTTTGAAACTGTATGAAAGACACCATCTCCCTTTGCAGCAATAGTACATTCCCTTGGCTTATGGGAGGAGGCTGCAACTCTTT